ATACCTGGAACCTCATGGAACATTTCAAAGCGATCAGCGCTATATTTCCGCCCTCCAGTGTGGTAATAGGTTACTAAATAACATATGAATACGTAAGCACCTGTAAATATTTAAGTGTAACTTCCGCATCCGAGTACCTACGGCAATATAATTGGTATCAATTTAAAGGTCAAACTCTCCTCTTGGATATACTATCAACTTCTCTGGTCTATGTCCTTCAGTGGTAAATATATACGCTATAGAATACAAATTGTATAATTTTTCACACAAATTTGGGGTCCATTTGACGCGCTAAATATTGACCGATCTTTATCAAAACAGGCATGCTTATTCTTTGGCCCGATCCCCTTCTCCGTGCAAAAATTCGTGTTTGGGCCATAATTGCGGCCTCTGGAGCGACCAGAAAAACCGATAAAAATAAAGTTTTTGGTCCATTTCATCCCCTAAATATTCACCAATGTTTTCCAAAAACAATAGGGGTCTTCATTGGCCAGAACCCATCCCACATGCAAAATTTCTTGAAGATTGGTCCACAACTGTGGCCTATATAGTGTTTACAAATCATAATGGACAGACGGACGGACACCACACATGTGATATATGTTTATACCCTTAAAGGTGGGCTGCACAAAGCTATAATACCCTGACAACATAGTTGTGTAGGGTATAAAAAGCGTATACTAGTTTATGTTTATACCCTGGATGAGTCCCTATTGAAATTGGTAAAAAAATTGGTGTACTAAGGTCACTTCGGTTTGCACGAAATTTGTCATAGCGTACTGAGATAGGCCTAGAATGACGTAAGTAAAGTTTCGTGAAAATCGGTTCAGATTTAGATATAGCTCCCATATATATTTTCGTCCGGTTTGAGGTAAATGGTGCACCAAAGTCCCCAAATATCTTTCGATTTCACGAAATATGGCATAGCGAACTAAAGTAGGCCTAGAATGACGTTCGTAAATTTTGTGAAAATCGGTTCATATTTAGATATAGCTCCCATATATATATATATATATATATATATACATTCGTCCGATTTAAGGTTAATTGTGCACCAGAGTTCCTAAATATCTTTCGATTTGGACGAAATTTGGTAAAGCCTAATGATTTAGGTCTAGAAATATGTGTGAAGTGTGTGTTAAGTTTGGCATAGCGTACTGTAGCTCCCATATATATATATATATATATATATATTTCGGTTCACGATTAAGATATAAAGCCTAATGATTTAGGTCCATATATATATATATATATATATATTCGTCCGATTTTAGGTAAGTGATGCACAAAAGTCTCTACATATCCTTCGATTTGCACGAAATTTTGGCATAGCGTACTGAATCGAGTATTGAATGATGTGTGAAAAGATTCGTGAAAATCGGTTCAGATTTAGATATAGCTCCCATATATATTTTCGTCCGATTTGAGGTAAATGGTGCACCAAAGTCCCTATATATCATTCGATTTGCATTTGGCATATCGTATGTAATTAAGTTTACAATAATGTGTGCTAAGTTTCGTGAAATTCGGTTCAGATTTAGATATAGCTCCCATATATATTTTCGTCCGATTTAAGGTGAATAGTGCACCAAAGTTCTTATATATCTTTCGTTCAATTTCATGTCAATGTTCTTTCGAAAAGTCTGTTCGGTGACTTTGTCGGCTCAGTCCGATTTTACTGCTTTCCTTAGTGGTTTAAAAAGTAATTTTGCAAAAAACAAGTCGTGGATTTTTCAAAGAGCAACAAGCCGCGGATTGTTTAAAAAAGATTTTCTAAAGAATAACAATGCGTGAAATAAAAAATATGTTTTCAAAGAGAAACAAGGCTTATATTTTTATATTCTTTGTTTTTAAAAAAAAATTATAATTTGTTTTGAAAAATAGAAAATGGGTATAGTTATTTTATTTTTTTTTTATTATTATTAATTATTTTTTTTTTTTTTTTGAAATACAGCAATGGATATAAATATGTTTAAATATGTTTTTTGTTTATTATTGGTGTCCTCTCCCCCCTCTATATTTAAAAGGCTTCCAATGAATATCAGAATTTTTTATACTATACATTATTTATTGGCTTAGCCATTTTGGCCTAAATTATAAAAAATTATATTTTTTTATTTATTACAAACGCAAGACCACAACACCGACAAGTTTTTAATTTTGTGATATTTGTAAAATAAATGTTACTACCACAAAAACATTGTTGTAACAATCAATTGTGACAAAGTGGCAATTCATTTAATTAACTTCGAATATTTCTAAACAGATATCTTAATTTTTAATAATAACATACCGACAAAGGGAATATATATGGGATATTGAAGATATTGCAGTTAAAAGCAACATTAATTGGGATAATACTAGAATTTTTAATAATAAGAAATTGAAGCGAGATTTGTGAAGGAAAGTACATTCCATGAAATTATTTTCTTCCGAATATTGGACTGAATGACATGTATCACCATGGAACCCAAAAGACAAAACATTTCTTATCATAATAGTTTTAATAAGAAAATATCCTGAAAATAATATATATATATTTTTTTTTTGTTATTTGAATTTTGCCTTGTAAGGGCAGTGATCATTTGAAAGTAATTTTAAGTGATTATTTATACTCTTTCGAGTCGAGCTTGAAGATCTAAGTTTTGCAATGAAAAAGAAACCCAGGAGAAGAATCTACGCACCCACCATTATGCGATCATTATGCAAATGAGCACTGCCCTTACAAGGCAAAATTCAAATAACAAAAATTAATTTCAGTCGAGCACGGCTAGGGCTCGTACATAGGTCCTCGGAGCAACACAAATGTTGCCAAGGCCACTTAACGTTCTAAGACATCAACACACTTGCGCAAAAACATGTGTATACCATGGAAGCAATTGTAGGTGTGTGGATTAATCATCCATCGCTACAACAAAAATCTGCTTTGAAAAGAACTGTTCCTAGAATGAAGACAAATGTCAAACTTTGACAAATTTGAATTTAATTCGCATATGCAAGTTTCGCATCAGGGCGGAATAAATACAAGGTATCAACGTACGACATTTGTAAAGCCACATAGGCCAATATGCCTGATGAGCCGCTTAACCATCGGCGAAACGCGTCGCATAATGGTGGGTGCGTAGGTTCTTCTCCTTGCTTTCCTTTTCATTGCAAAACTTAGATCATCAAGCTCGACTCGAAAGAGTATCAATAATCACTATTTTATTTTTTAGAATTTCTTTTGAAATATCCCATATATAGATACATAGAAATCTATAATTTGTCACACATTTGTATATACATTTGTTTAGTAATTATGTTAAAAGGTTTTTCAACCACACTTGCCTTGAATTAATTAAACAAATTAATCCACATACACACACAGAAATGTCCATTCGATAACATAAGATAATCTGTCATAATAAACAAATAACACACACATTCTCGTACAATGATATTCATGTATATATGTGTGTGTGTGTATGTTAACACCACCAACATAACATAACATTGCCACTTACCTGTCCTAATAGGTTAATTAACCAAATTAAATTACAAATTTCTGCTCGATTAACCAAAAATCCATCATAGCTTTGCATGTATTAACTACATTAATTTGCAATAATTAATAATTCTTTATCTAATGACAAGGTTGCGGGGAGAGAGGGGAGGAGGAGGAGTATAAATATCAATTAAAAAACAACACAAGAGATGCCACATTCCCAGTGGTTTCAAAGTCGGCCAATTATTACAATTTTTAAAAATGAAAAAAATAATAAAAAAAAAAATCGTAAAAAATATTTTTAAGAATTAAACAAAGATCGGTTTTTTCGTGAACCATACGAAGCGGAGATTTTCAAAAAATTTTTGGTTTTTTAATAATATATTTTTAAAAGTCATGAATGGAAAAACTATATTCGAAAAAAGAAAGAATAGATTTAGCTTGACAGATGTTAAATTTTAGTCCCATACTTATAAAACCTCGACTTTTGAAACCATGATAATTGATAGGGGCCATTTCTTTGCCCAATGTTGCACCCAATTTTTTCGTAGTTTACTATAAGAACCCTGGGAGGATCTCTTGCATATTGCCTTAGCGGCAATCCCTTACTGGTTTTCTGTTCGGTCTGGCAACTTCCCCACCATTTTTTCTTCTTCCCTTCACATCGTGTTCCGCCGCCGCATAGAAGGTTATTGTATTGTAATCAAGCAATTAATTTAATGGCACATTTATGCCAAAGTGTCATATCCCAATGATGCTGGGATTTTCCCCCACCATTATTCATCTTCGTAGTTGTTGTTTTTTTTTAATTTAATATTCACAGATAACAGTTTTTAAATGCAATCGATTTAATTATTTGACATAACTTAATCATAATGAAATTTTACCACAAACAAAAACAAAACAATGCACCACTGACAAAAAAGAACAACAGAAACAAAAAACTTCCGCATGGCCTACTATGGCCTCTCTAAAAAAAGAATTAAAAATTATGAATTAATTAATTATGTGTAAATGCAAAAACGGACTCACACACACTGGCGCACACATGCAATACATAAACAAAAAACATTGAATTACAAATATCCATCAAAAAAACGTATTTGCATGCATTTGTGTGAGTGTGTGTGTTTTTTTGCGTATAAAAATAACATTCACACAAAGTAAATATTAACAATAACATATTTTTATTGCGGTTTCAAATAAAAACACAACATACCAAATATACAATAAAAACTTACAATCCAACAACTATGGTTTGCACAAATAATTAAAATGTCATAGCACTTTGTGTCAAGCCATGAGTGCGCTTTGTCTCATTAAATGGCAAAAACACAAACCCTGAACTACCATAAAAACCTAACGGAAAATCCAATAAAAACGGTTCGCTCTTTGCATTACGCATTTAATGTGTCTACACATTAATAATTAATTTAATTTTCATCATTTTTTGTTTTTCTTTTTTTAATATTTATTTTAATATTATTGTCATTTTTTCTATGTGTTTCTCTTGCAGTGCGCCCTCTCTTGGTGGAAATTTCATTTAACAATCAACCCATGTCAGCAGATCGTAAATATGAAATTGAATGCCAGGCCATTGGTTCACGACCACCCGCCAAAATAACCTGGTGGATGGGCAATATTGAATTGCATGGCCATAGTCAAAAGGTGAGTATGATGAGAGGGTGGTTAAAAGGGCGGAACGGGGGTTCATATATATTTTTTTTAAGTTCCCTAATGAATTCTAATCTCAAAATATTTACTTTTTTTTAAATTTTAGGTCTCCGAAGATGGCAATGTCAGTACTTCCGTATTGTCAATAACACCCACCCGCGAGGATCATGGCAAGGCGTTGTCCTGTCGTGCCACCAATGAGCTGGTACGAAATGGTATACGTGAAACGGCCATGAAACTGAATGTCTTCTGTAAGTATTTCAATTTGGTACTACATATACTTCTGATAGTAAAATAAAAAAGAACCAGTAAGGAAAGTAGTAAAGTCGGACTGGGCCGACTATATGATACGCTTCACCACTTCATGTATATTTTACATATGTATCCTAACAACTTCATGTAAATGTATCCTCGAAGGAACATACACCTTTCTCCAAACTATGCTAAATATAATTCCAATCGAGAAGATTAAGAGTCGTTTGCGTACAATGGGACAAATTTATGGAAATCGATTTATAGAAAATATGATACACGCTACTCCATATGCCGCACTGTTAAAACTATAGTCTCAATCAGACACCCGTTCGAAATATATATAATACGTTGTGCAAATTTTCTTGTCAATCGGACAAACATTAGGAGTTTGGAGCACCATTTACCTAAAATCGGACGAAAATATATATGTGGGACTTATATCTAAATCTGAACAGATATTCTTGAAACTTAACGCACCTTATTCTAGTCTCACTTCAGTACGCTATTTGGTAGAAATCGAAAGATATGTAGGAATTTTGGTGCAACATTTACATTAAATCCGACAAAAATATATATTTGAGCTATATCAAAATCTGAACGGTTTTTCAGGTTCATCGTCATTTTAGACTTAATTTAGTAAGCCATGGCAACTTTCATGAAAATCGAAATACATATATAGGGGCTTTGGTACACCATTTACATTAAATCGGACGAAAATATATATGGGAGCTATATCTTTTCAGTACTCCATGCCAAATTTCGTGCAAATTGAAAGATATATAAGGACTTTGGTTCGCCATTTACCTTAAATCGAACGAAACTATATATGGCAGCTACATCTTAATCTGAACCGATTTCTCTGTCGAAAAAATTAGCACACATTTGGTGGACCTAATTCAGTAGTCTGTGCCAAATTTCGTGCAAATTATATCTATATAAGATATATAAAAACTGGTGCCACATTTATTTTCGAGGAAGAAAATATATATATATATATATTATAATAGTCCGGTTAAATCCTACAATAGTCCGGTTCAATATATTGAGCACGTCTGTCTCTTGAAATCATGATAGAGCTTCCAAAATGTAAGATCCAATTCGGATCATAACATGTTTACTACGCTTACTTTTTACAAAAAAAGGGATATATCGGACCACATGTGTAAATCTACCTCACACATTCGGTGTTTTAGGTTTTAAACAAATTAGCTGTAATATTACACTTTGAGGTTTGATTGGGTACTAAATCTCCATACAAAACATTTGCCTGTTACAACCATATCACAAAGACATAATACCAACGGTAGACAGTGTGGCTGTAATTCAGAGCCATCAATTCACATTTGGTATCAAATATTGGAAAAATATTGGTTTAATAGCTTTTATCAGATGACGAATTCCATTCCCTTACTTTTAAAACCGCGAAATGGATAGCCCCTTTATATACTTCAGCGTGACAGTTTATTATTTAAGTTTCACTCTCAAAGTGCTTTACTATTACCAAAAATTTAAAGTCCACTTATATTCCCACTTGAAATAAATTTGCGAATAAATAATTTTACAAAAATTGGCCGCCACTTACAAAAGAAGCCATTCTCCCCGCCCTTCATTATGGAAGCCAAACAAAGGTGCTTTTCAGTCTGATAATGGATCAATCAAAATACCTAACATTAGCTAAATTAAAATTGAAAAGGGAAAGTATTGAAAGTGGGTGCTTCAAAGTTTTTAATTAATCTAAGTCCAACAAAGAAAGGACACAAAAAGAGGGGTTAAATCAAAAGGATCTGTTCGCTCTTGTTCAACAACAATGTTGTTAATTCTATTGAAACTGAAAGTAAGTGGATTATAACTGAATGGGGCAGGTGGATGTGCGAGATGTATGTAAAGCACTTAAAATCTGAAGCCTTAGTAATCGACTAAATCACTTTTCAGTCAATTGGCTAATACAACAGCAACATCAACAACGGATATATAAGTACTTGTGGAAATGAGCAAAAGTTGTTGTTGCGCATTTTTGTTTTTACTATATGGACTGAATAAATATTATAGATCATTAAATTTGATATTTTTGATGGTTAGGATTCGTGCTTTACATTTGGTATTCCAAGTAAAACGAAATAAAAATCGAGTTGTGCTTATTCCCTGCTTTTGTTATTTTTTATGACCTTTGATTACCCCTTTTTATTCTTTTTTACTTATTCCCCATTACTAAGGGCTTGCTCTTTGTGTGATGGTGGATAACTCAAACCCACCTCCGCTTAAGCTTGTAAAATCGTATTTTGTTTATTCATTCTTCTCCCTTTCATTCTCTCTCCCCCATTTTGTCTGTGGACACTTGCTTTCAGATTTAGTTGCATGACCCAGTAAATGAGGCGGCAGGGGCGCCATATCATCGTTGTACGAAGTATCCACTAAGTATAACGGGTAATGGTAATGTTTTAATGGGCTTTGTGTTTATAAAATTGAATGTGAAGGGTGTTGGGATAATAAAATGAGCCACGACTAGTCCTCGGACAGTGTAGAACAACCAACCAAACAGCCATATTGCCAGCCTTGATGTTCACGAACAACCGTTTGGCCATTGCTTCCGTAGGGACCACCCTCTGTGGACTGCTGCCGTTTGGAAAGTACCACAACAAGCTATAGAAAATTGAAATCCAAGCTAAATCCTGTGGTCAAACCAACAACGAAGGCAAAAAATAAAGAATGTTTCATTTTCCCCTTTTTATTTTACTTTGAAATTCCATAATAATACTGGGCAACACCAAATTTTATTAGACATTTTTTTGCCGCTGAGCTTATTAAGGAAAATAAAGTAGCAGAAGAAGAAGAAGGGATAAAAGAGCTTTTCGTGATGGCACATTGGGTATTTACTCGGTTTATTTTTCAAAATTAAAAACAAACCCGACAAGGCTCATTCATAGTGGCCAAAGCAACCGCACCACTCTGGTAACAGGCAAACAAGATGCCTTCTTCCTTCGAATGACAGAAACAGTAGTAGCAGCTGAAGCTTAGTGTTAATGTGATGAAAAGCAAGGATTTTATACGTGGCATGTTATTAAAAAACAACAACAACATCGGCAACAAACTGGGTTATATACTCGACACGGGTATTAATAGAACCCATCAACACTGAACAGAAATATAAATAGAATATAAGAGGCGACAGTAAGCGAAAAATAAAATTGTTTTTTGTAGAAAAAAGCGTGGTCAATTGCAGGGTAGCATAATCACATTATGAGGATTTTTTAAGGTCCCTTTGGAGAGTAAAATGTATAACTCTACATTTTGAGACCATTCACAATTGTCCATTATAATTCCAATTATACACTCCACATTAAAATGGAGGTCATAAAAAATTGTCATTCAATTAAACACCTGGAAATATTCCCTGGAGACCGATAAAAGATATAATGCTGATCACAATATAATTCTGAATTCTCGATTTAAAATTTCGGCTACTTTCAAACGTGTAAAAAATGAACGTGCACTTGAAAAACCAAGTGCACGTAATTTCGTATTCAACAACATGGAATTTTATAAATGTATTTAATTTGTGATAAAGGATTCGATTATACCTTTCATATGCCCAACTATTATCTGAATACCAGCAATACGAATAGAGTTATGACAAAAATAAATGAGACAGAAAATTTTTGTAAACCCGTCTTCAGCGCCATCTATTGGTGGACATTGTTGAAGTCAGTTTTTGAAGCACACTTTCAAAACGCAAACCGTTTGAACATTTCAACGAAATTGGTACCGAGTAAAATAAAAAAAACTTCATATCTGCATTTCATATTAAAACCAGTAAGGAAATTAATAAAGTGGGACTGCGCCGACATATGCACAATATACCCTTCACCACTTTGGGTATATTGTACATATGTACCCTTACAGTTGCATGTCAATGTTCCCTCGAATCTGCAACCTATGATAAATTTAATTTCAGTCGGGAAGACATAAAGCCGTCTGCGTACCATGGGGCAAATTTGTATTCGGTACGTCGCATTGTTAAAAATTTAAATACATATGGAACACATGGCTACATCTGCACCAATTTCAACAAAACAATAAAATTGTGCAAAATTTCGTGTTAATCGGACAAACCTAAGGAGGTTGGACCACCATTTATATAAAATCGGACGAAAATATATATGGGAGCTATATCTAAATCTGAACCGATTTTCACGAATCTTAACACTCATCGTTCAAGACTCGATTCAGTACGCTATGCCAAATTTCGTGCAAATCGAATTATATGTAGGGACTTTTGTGCTCCACTTACCTAAAATCGGACGAAAATATATGTGGGAGCTATATTTAAATCTGAACCGATTTTCATGAATCTTTACACACATCATTGAAGACTCAATTCAGTACGCTATGCCAAATATCGTGCAAATTGAAGGATATATAGAGACTTTGGTACACCATTTACCTAAAATCGGACGAAAATATATATGGGAGCTACATTTAATTCTGCACCGATTTTCATGAAATTTAGCACACGGGGACTTTGGTGCACTATTTACCTAAAATCGGAAGAAAATATATATGGGAACTATATCTAAATCTGAACCGATTGTTCCCAATTTCAATAGAGATTCTATGCATATTCTCAAAAGGAATCATGTGGTATCTCGTTTCCTTTTGCCTGTTAGAAACATATACACAAAGACGTAATGCCCTGTACCACAGTGTGGTGAAGGGTATAAAAATCAAATAAAATTTTTCTAGTTCACAAAAAGTATACAATTATACCCCTCACATGACACCAATTTCATTGAAAATCTAAAGTAGATCAAAAATTATAGGATATCAAATGAGGTAGATGGCGCTGACGACAGTGATGCCAAATTTGGAGAAAAGCATCAGTATTTTGGGGTTCCTGGAGGACGAGAAGCATTCTTGTTGATCTTTTACGATGATGATCACCGTTTTGAGATAAACCACATATGAAAGTACCGTCCCATTTTCAGTATTTTTACGTATT